CTCGTCGAAGTTCTAAGTCTACATGCCTTCAAAGACAGGAAAGCACACGAAAATCGAGAAAACAAAAGAAAACACATAAAACACTAAAATATGATCAAACACGCGACTAGTTGGATCAAAAGATCTAAGAAAATACCTAAAACGGGAGAAAAATATGAGCAACCCAATAACGAAAATAGCAACAAAAATAAGACAAACACAGATGTACGGACCAACCTCGAAAGCTGGTCATGTTGACTGGTTATTTCTAGTGGAAAGACCAAAATTTAAGTTTTTCAAGTTACATGTTGTCTAATAAAATCAACGCGGTCACCAAATTATTTTTTAATTTGTTGTTAGTTACAAGACTAAATCTTCAATTCTTCTAGTTGTTTACAAATACATCTTGCCTCGACCCGTAAGACTTCAGCTCAATTCGTTCGTATGATTAAATGAGCCAAGATCGAAAACTACAAGCTCGTTTATTCAACCTGCAGAACCGAGCTTGTTCGCGAACAACTCGTTTCAAATTTTTATTTTCTTTTTATGGATTTTAAATGGAACAATTCGTTTTACGAAATGAGACGGGCCACGCTTAAACGCGCGGAATATGAGTTACCCGGTTTGATTCAAACAAATTATTAAATAAACAATGATAAATTAAATAAAAAAAAAAAGATTCAATGACTTGTGATCGAATCTCTATAAATACAGATACTTAGATGGCTGAATTCATATCGTTAGCATACATTTTTCTCCTAACAAATTTTGACATTTTTCATTAATTTTCCCTCTCTCTTCCCTTTTATTGTAATAATAATAATAATAAACGCTTCCTTCATGTCTGAAGAATTCTACTATTCCCAACTCTTCCATGACGAGCAGCAACGCCGCCAGCTGGCTACTGCCGTCGAGTTTCCATTCTCCGGAAGCTACTCCCCGGCCGCATTCCCAGCCGACACGTCACCTCATCTTCAAAGCTTCTCTGATATTCTGCATGTGCCCGAAGACGATCACAAGTATTTGCTTCAAGAGATTGTCAGGGGAGGCAGGAAACTGTCGCCGAAGGCCGCCGCCTGTAGTGGTTCCGGCAGCGGAGGAGCACCTGCCTCGCCCAACTCTTCCTTGTCGTCGTCCTCCACGGAGGCCGGCCGTGAAGACGAGCCGAGCAAGGGCAAGAAAGTCGGTGGAGAGGGCACGTCGTCGACCAAGAAAGAGTAAGCTAATAAATAACTAATTAATTACAATTTTTTATTTTATATATTTATTTTTATTTTCTAGTCTATATAGGGAAAAAATGCAATTTTGGAAGCCAATTTTGTTTTCATTTTCGTCATTTAACATTTTTGGTAATAATTTAGTAAAGCAATT